CCCCATCCAATCCGCCACCTCCCACCAATCCCCACAGGCAGCGCACCGCACCGCCGACGCTCCACCCGATCTTTCAGATTGCCCGACGAAATCGTCGAGAAGGGCAATGGAGCTTATCCGTAAACGACGCTCGACTGTGGTACGAAGAATCGCCAACATCCCCGCTTTGGGCCAGTTATATGAGGAGAGCGAACGAGGTCGCTCGAGAGATGTGGGCGCCGTCAAAGTGAGAGCAGAGAATGTCCCTGGCGGGGCAATTCACAAACTTTAAGCCGCACGCACGAACAGCCGATGAACGAGGAGAGCTGTGCGGCCTTTTTGATGGCAATCGAAGTGGCGCCATCGACCCGACTGCAGCACGCCAGGACGCTGCGGTCCATGTTGCAAATGGATCGAACCCCGCTGGACATGGCGATTTCGGGGCTACAAAAAATTGCGGCGCGATAAGAGGCGAAGCAAGCGCGCCCCTTGACAGAGGAAGAGATTGGAGCAATTTGTTCGCGGCCGGACCGATTGGAGGGAACGTGTTGTCTTACGACTTGCGTGTATAACGGCGAGTCGTTGGTCCGAGATTGCGGCCTTGACAGCCAAGAATTTCACACTGGAGGCGGACGGGACCTTAATTTTGGATTGGTCCGTGGCGCCGAAGACGGCGAGGGCGGATCCCCACCGCGCCTCGCGGTCCGTGAGGATACGAGGGCAGGACGCGTTCGACACTATAAAGTTATGCAGGACATTTCAAGAAAACGAAAAGCTCACAAATATTACTAATGCCCAAGTCGAAGGAGCTCTGGCTCCTTGGAATGCCACGGCGCATTCCATAAAACGCGGTGCGTTGAGGCACGCTGCTGAAATCGTGGAGGCGTACAATTTGAATCCACACGTGATCTCGCTGTTGGTGAAGCACGTCGATCCGTTCGAACTTCCCCAGAACACAGTTCGATATTTGGGGAGGTACACCACAATGCTGACCCAGGTGTCGTCGCCGGTCGCATTGATGTGAAGGGAGACACTGCGGAAGGGCAGGAACCCTGGCTGAGAGCGGAGGAGCGTTTTTTCCATTATTTTCATCATGCTGCTACAATAACGAGACGCGCGACAAGGACGCGTCCGGCCACTCCACAAGATGAACACACTATCCCGTTACAGCAAGTCAACGTGCCCGTGTTGAACCTAGAGTGGATCAAGGGCCGGTTGAACCCGGCCACCTTGGAGAGTCTCATGCAAGTTTGGGGACTCGTCGGGCGGTCCCCTTTTCCTCTTTCTTCCCTCGGCAAAGCGCGCGAAGGCTCACGGAGAATTCCAACCGCTGATGCGCATTTGTTACGAAAAGCGGGAATTATCGAGGACGCTTCGTCCACAATAACAGGCGGATGAATAATACCCTTCTCGGTTGTGGTGGAGAAAACCACCGGTTTACGACGACGATGGATCGCGTGGCCACGCGACAAGAACAGAGACGACCCTTCCGAGGCTCATGCTCCTCTTTTACACATTTCCCATTATTTGCCACCTGTGATGGCTGAGGCCGCTTCCTGCCTGGATTTAAAGGCATCCTTTTCCCGAGTTTCTTTACCGCGGGAGACTCGGCATCTCTTTCGGTGCCGCATGGAGGACGGCACGCTGGTGGAGCTGACACGGCTCCCAATGGGATACAAGGCCAGTTCAGAAATTCTCCAGATTATTACTTCAGCAATTGCGGTGGTGACGACGGTGGTTCACCCCCTCTGGGCTGCACCTCCATTGGTCCGTGTCGGCGTTTGGGTTTATAATATACGCATTGCAGGGTCGAAAAGCGATGAGACATTGTGGGAAGCCCAAGTGCTTCGTAATGCGGACGGCCGTCGCGCCACGATGGGGGAGGACCGCAAATCGGGCGCCACGCAGTACACCTTCCTGGGGGAGCAGTTTGGTCACACACACCAGGCGGTATCCCTGAGTGACGAGTTTGTCCGGTCTGTACGCGCCATGCCGGCGCTCAATTCTTCAAACATCGCAGAAATGGAGGTTACGGTGTCCCGCTTTTTATATTTGGCTGCCATTTTGGGCACGCAATTATGCGACCACTACTTTTTCATCAAGGCAGTGCGACGACGATTATCGGCACTTAACCGGGGGATTGTGCTGGAGACATCCCCGGCGAACCTTCCGCCGTCAGCGGTTGGTTTGGGCGAGGGATTGCGACAAATCAATGAGGATAATCGTAGGCGAACCATCAAGCCCACGGAGAAGGCGTCGGCCGCCATCATCACGGATGCATCGCTCCATGGATGGGGAGCCGTTTTTATTCCAGACTCCGGCGACGTCAAAATTGCCGGAAGGAAATGGGGGAGGAAGCCTTTTCTTATCATGCAGGCCGAGGCGCGCGCGGCACGCTTAGCCCTATCGGCATTTTCCGCCATCTTGCCATCTACCACTGACGTTGGGGTGGACAACACCTCGCTGCAAGGAGCGGCGAATAAAGGCAGCTCAAAATCACACGCCATGACGTGGGAGCTGCAACGGATATATGGGTTTTTAGGCTCTCGCGGAATACAGGCATCCTTTGCTTACGTACGGTCTGCGGAAAACCCCGCAGACGGCATATCACGCGGTCGCGTTTTTACACTTCAGGACTTGGCGAAGGGGTGGAACTTGTGAAGGGCAGCGGCGGTGTCTTGTGGGTGGAGGACCCCAAAGTCTGCCAGCTAGTAATAAATAAATAAATAAATATTCCATCGGAATAGAGTGAGCAGGGCCACAATTGAGGCTAACGTATGGTATAATATATATATACACTTACTAGGTGTTAAACGTTGGGAATGTGGTGAATCCACTCTTATTCCGTTTATTCCTTTCTTATTCCTATCTGGTTTGGTTTCTATTATTGATAAACTCATGATCCGGCCAGCTGCCCAGAAGATTATTCTAATTTATTTATCGATCTATCCTTCTATGTGTACTTATATATTTCCTGTGAAAGGATTCTTTTCTATAGAAATGCCCTTGCGAGCGCTTGCCAATTTTTTTTTGCATTGATTACTTCTTTACATTTTTTTTTTATTATTGTTTTTCATGTCTAACTCTGCAGCTGGGTTTTATTACGGGAAAAGAAAAAGGTTCAAACGGATGGAGACCCCTATGGTGGTGCTGCTTTTTGTTGTTTGCGCCCAATAGGCAAATAAAGAAAGAAAATTTGGCTATTACGACAAGGTGCTGATTGAGGTACTGTTCCGTGCGGTTGTTTTTTTGCGGTGGTGATGGGGGAGGTGATTGGGGAAATACTGGGCACAAGGTGTGACTTGAAATCCTGAACTGCGTTTTCAGAATGTCTGGATGGTTGTCGCCCTGAGCTATAACAATTTCCTGTATTGAAGAATAGTTATTTTTTATTTTTCTGCCTGCGACGTCTTTATGCTGACCTGAAGTTTCTTTTCTTATTTGCGGGTGTCGATAGGACAGTTTAAAATATGTTTGTTGTTTTTGGGCATGTAGGATGTCTGGTGACTGTGCTTTTTTTGGGGGAGTTTACATGAGAGGAATGGGGATTGAGCAGCGTGGGATATGTGGTGAGTGCCGCAGGCTTGTTGGTCCGCGATTTGGGTGCCCTCCAAAATTCATGATATTTTGGGCTCCTCAACGAACACTTTTATTCTTTGTGGAATCATGTGGTATTACAAATGACACCCTGGACTGTTGTGTTTTGCCATCCTTTTTTTTTTTTTTTTTACGGGATGTATGAGGGCTTTGCATGTTGCGGCGAGAACTGCATTTGTTACTGTGTCATTGTTCTCTTTTTTTCTTTTTTTCTTTTTATTCTTAGCCGTTTTTTACTTTTGTTGCTTATTTTATTTCTGGTCATGTTGAGACTCCTGCGTGCTCCGTGCCTCCACTTCACTCACCAAATGGAGGTGCGTGGCCATTGCGCTGGAAGGAGTCTTTTTTTTTGTTCAAATTCACACAGAACCATCATTGGGCACATTTTTCTTTTATACTTCTTTTGTTTTCTTTCAGGAGATGCTTCCTTGGCTTTGCCTCCAACGGGGTATGCGCGGAGTTACACGCGCTTTAAAAACCGAAGCCAAAAGCCTTTTTTGGAAAGGATGCTTTATCTTTCTTCTAACATTAAATTTGTTGTCCATGTTGATGCTTTTTTTTTTGGAGTGGAGTTCATACTTCGTGACGATCCCGCGTATGGTTTTGGTGTTGGCCCGACCAGGGCGGAATATATCCACTGCGTCGGGGAAAGGCTTCTGGTGGATCCAACGACACGGCGGCTGGGGGGAAATAATAACGGGACGGACGTTATCCCGTTGATGGTGGTCCCGCTGATGCTCGATCTGATGGACTTTCGGAGGATGATGTGCAACATCAATGTGCCAATCCGGCTGTTGGTTTTGGTGCAGAACGGGCGGGAGGCGATGCTGTCGTTGTGCCTGCAGGAACTCGAGAGGGTCTATGGGTGGTCCGGACGCCTGGTTGTGAGTCGTCACCCGGAAAACATCGGGTACAGCGCTGCCGTGAACATCGGGTTACGACTTGCACTCTCGCTGCCGCGCGAGGAAGTGCCTTTTGCTTTTGTGACAAACAGCGACGTAAAGTTTTCACCCGATCTTCTTCCCAACCTTCTACGCGATGTGCATGAAATGGCGAGGCATGATGCCGCTCGCATGGATGAGTTGGCGGCGGAGGTGGCGAATGAGCCGAGCGAGTACAGTCCTGTTTTGCGACGGGGCTTGAGGGAGCTGTGCTCCACGGTGAACGATAGCCGATTGTCGACTTCTGCGCTGCTGCCTGACCGCATCCGTTATGCTTCTGTGAAGGAGCGTGAAAAGACGTTTTCGAAGCATTACGGGCACTTCTGCGCGTATTACAAAGGCAGTTGTTTTACATCTGTTATGTTGACACGCCTGGCGATCAGCACGGTGGGATATTTTGACGAGAACTTTTACCCAGCTTACGTGGAGGATGTCGACTACAGCTTACGCCTCCGTTTGCTTGGATTTCAGGAGCGAAATGTCTTCTACGGCAAATTTGTGCATCGCGGCAGCTCGAGTATTCGTCTCTCTAATGAGGTGGAGCTACCGGACGCTCTCTGGTACCGTCGCGTCAGGTCTTTGAGTGCGAACGATGCATATGCCATGATGAAGTGGAACCGTCCACGGGCGTGCAGTGGCGGGTACAAGGGGCCATATGACGGCATGGTCCCCGCATACGTTTGGGTGAAGGATGAGGCACGCATACAGCGCCTTCGGGCCTACGGGCATGATGAGGAGCAAGGGGTTCCAAAGGTTGAGTACGACAGGACACTTTTGTACCCTGTGAGGACGAAAGGAAGATGAACTGGCGCCAGTTGCAAGTTTTATGTTTTTATTATTTTATTTTATTTTTCGCTTTAATTATTAAAAGTTTTTTTTTTTAATTTTTATATTTACACAAATGATATTTAAGCGAGTACGCCATGGGTTTTAAAGAGCGCAAGCATATATTTGGCATGACAGGGGGAGGGTGCAGCGTCCAAACCTGGCAGTGTTGCCGAAGGTAAGAGAGGGCGGCAGCAAGCAGTAAAAGTGAAGATGATGAATGAGGGAGAAATAAAAGGGGAGGGAAGCAGAAAACAAGCCAAAAATATTGTGAGCACAACGCTGTTTCTCACCGTGGGCGATCGACACCGCAATTGGCTACTAATTTACCCACTGAAGGTGACACCCGTTTCCGCTGAATATGCCGCGTGCATATCTGTCGGGCTCTTTGTTTATTCTTTTGGTTTGTTTGTCTCCCGCACATTTATTTCTCCGTGCCGCCTGACCCACTCGTTTATTATTCCCCTCTCTGTTTTTGTGCGTGCACCGAGAGAAGGGCTCGGGGACATGAAGTACGCTCCCCTTCTGTGACATGCCACCAAAAACAGAAGGGAAGAAAAAAAGAAAAGTGAAGCGGGGAGGGGGACCATCGCCACGCGTCCTTTTCCCCGAGAAGGCTGCTCGCCACGCCATTGAGGCGCGCCGTGTGCTTCGCGAGGTCCGCTGGACTCGATTGGGGTGCCGTGAGTGATGGTGCGTGTGAGTGTGGCGGATGCGTCTCCCAGGCGTCCCTAGAGGGCCCTCTGGCCATTGGGACTGCGTGGAATGCGGGATTCTGCGGGGATATTTGGCCGTTTTGTTTTTCTTCCTCCATCCGCCCATCCCAAACCTCAACACGGCGTCTGAGCCAACGACTGCGACGGGATCCGTTGCGTATTTCTGAATCTCTTTTGCGTTGCAGCGGCAGGCCTGGTGTGTCCTGCTCGGCAGACACGGTGGACGGGAGTGGGCTGCCGTATCGGGAAAGCGATGGTCACGGCGGAGCGTGTTGCGTACGTCGCAATTTGGCGTGTTTGTGGCGATCCTTGCAGATGATGTGACGGCGCCTCTTTTACTTGCGGGGAGAGAAGCGATGCTCCACGGTGATGCAAACTTTGCGTGTGGAGGTTTCTCTTGCTGTTGGTTTGTGAATGTTTATTTTTTGCTTTTGCTGGAACACCACAGAGGGCGGTGTCTGCGGACAGCAGAGCATTGCGAGGAGGGGCATCGCACGATTTTTGGCGCGATGAGGCGGCTTTTGTGAATTTACGGTGTTTATTTTCAGGGTTGAGAGACTATTCTTTGCTGGAATGTATTGTGGGAGAACATCCGTGTGTTTGTTTTTCTTAATTAATCCCTTGGCATTTGGTGTCTGCCGTGAAACAGATGTTGATGGCCGTTTTATGGCGGCGAGATGCATTTTTATTTATTTTATTGGCGAGTGGGTGAATTGTTTTGCGTTCTGCCATGCGGCTTGTTGCTGACGGCAATTTGCCGCAGTGAGACGTTATGAGCGCCTCCGACACGAGGAGCGATTGAGCAGTCACCTCCTCCGCTCGCCGGTACACGCTGTTGAGGCGGCGTGATGGTAATGAATCGGCCTCTCAGAAGGGTAACAAGAGGGAGTTTGCTGTTCCTGCTGCGGTTCACGAGTGAACCTCCAATCTGTGGGCGGGGTCGCTCTGCGTGCCGTATTTCTTTGAATCTTGATGAGTTTTGCACATGGCCATCCACACGCACATGCACACAACCCCCCTGTTTGCCCTCCTGTGGACGGGAGACCGGGATGCAAGGGGAAAATGTGGCCCGTGCCAGCATGTGACAAAGTCTTTCTTGGGAGGGATTGCAACTGTGATGTACGTCCTGGCAGGCAGGAATGGAATGAGAGGGGAGCGGAGGGCGAGTAACAACGATTGTGTGCGGGGCAATGCGCAGTGACCAGGGCGGAGTGGTACTTATGTTGACTTTTCAAAGCATTTTTGTCTTTTTCTTTTGTGACGATGGAAAGAAACTTTGGGTGGTGTGCTATGGATTATTTGCACATAATTCAGAGCGGCAACACCATTCGCGGAGAAAATGAATGACATCTGCGTGAGGCTTGCTTTGTGAGCGCGAGATGGTCGGGGAGGCGTTCAACGCCCCGAGAGGCCAGGAGCAAAGAGGCCTGCACTGCGGCAAGCAGAGGGATGCACGCTCCTGTTGGTGGTGTTGCTGTGGAGCCCTGAAGTGCCTGCAGGGAAGTTGTTTTTTCGCTGCCTCATTATTTTATGGTTTGGTGCTTGCCGAGGTCTTTTGAGGCGGGACGTGGGATGCACCGAGAGAGCGAGTGTCGTGTGGCGGTGCTGTGAATTGGTGCCGCCCACGTTTGTGCACATATTTCCGTTTGTGTCCGCGTCGTTGCCGCGGCGGTGCACCGGGAGCGTGTGACTGATCACTTTATCACTTGCAGACTGTTTTGGCAGGACTTTGAATGGCTTCGCCGAATGATGAAATTCCGCGTCCATGTCTCTCTCTCTCTCTCTCTCTCTGTTTGTGTGTGTTGGCTTCCGCCGTGACTTGCCGTGTTGCTGTTTTCTGTGTGCGATGATGCTCCGTGCCGTCCCTTCCGGATTGTCTTGTCTCCTGCTCTCTGCGTGGGTGCTCTGCTCTGCTCCCCAGTGACGCGTCTGATGTGCTGCCGCTGTTGTTTTCTTCACCACTTATTGAACACATACACACGCTAGGAAGGAAAGCAACCAAACGCGAATCGCTACTGTGAAATTCGAGGGCTCTGAAAGGACCAACAACAGCACACACACACATATTTGTATGCTCTCACGTGTTGCTGCTGTGAAGGCACCCAACAAACACAACCGTCGCGGCGTGACCGGATCCAGCGGAAGGAGGGGGGAAGGAGGAGAGGGTGAGCCGCAGAGGCCCAACATGTCCCGGCGTGTGTTTACTTCCGTGGTGCTGCTCCTCCTTTTCGTGATGATGTGCGGCAGTGGAGCTTCGACCGCTGAGCAGGCAGGGGCCACTGTTGATTCGTTTAAGGGGACGACGTCGATATCATTTGCTAATTGGAGGGGGTTTAAGGAGGCCGGAAGCAAAATCACCTCGCTCCGTGTTCCTGGCCTCGTTAAAGTGGGTGAAGATGTATTTGCCGTTGCTGAAGCGCAGTGCGGGGAGGAGAACGGAGCCGGCAGCTGTGCTGGGATTGTGTCAAGGCACCTGGATATAAGTGGTGGCTCATTGGATATTTCGACGTCGGATATAAGTTTGTTTTGCATGCAGCTTGTGGACACCGCCGCGAATAATTTTGGGACAACAGAATTGTTGCGGCCAACGACGCTTGTAATTGGGGACAGTGTCTATATGCTCCTGGGAAACTACAGCCATACAAAGCCGCAGGTTGAAGTTAAGAATGAGCGGGGTCTTTTACTCGTGAGGGGAACGGTCACCGATGAGGGTGGAATGAAGAAAATCAGATGGAATGAGACACATGCAGTGAGGCCTGAACCCAAAGGAGATTCTTATTCCTTGACCGAGTTAATTGGCGGTGGAGGATCGGGCGCTGTGATGCGTGACGGCGCGCTTGTGTTTCCCATGCAGGCCAAAGGCAACGATGGAAGGAGCGTTTTACTGTCTATGAGTTTTACCCCGTCAAAGAACAAATGGGAATTTTCATCCGAAGCGACTGGTAACGGCTGCAGGGATCCAACCCTTGTGAAGTGGGAAGACCAATACGACGAAAGACCCTTCATGATGGCTCATTGTGCTGGAGGCTACTATGACGTTTACAGGTCCACTCCGGAAGGAGTCAGTTGGTATAAGTTGGGTGAGCCAATTAACCGCGTGTGGGGCAACTCGCGTGGTCGAACAGGGGACGGCGTCAAGAGTGGATTTACCACCGCAACCATTGAGGAAAAGGAGGTGATGCTCGTCACCGCGCCGGTGTATGCCGCAAAGGAAAATGGAAGTGAAGAGGGTCGGCTTCATCTTTGGGTGACGGACAATGCACGTGTGTATGATGTTGGGCCGGTATCCCGTGAAAATGATGACGCAGCCGCCAGCTCGCTGTTGATGAAAGATAATAATGAGGAGTTGATTTCACTGTACGAGAACAAGAAGAGCGACGGATCATACAGTCTTGTTGCTGTGCGTCTGACCGAGAAACTGGAGCGGGTAAAGGAAGTGGTGAATACATGGAAGGATTTGGACAGCGCCTTGCAATCATGCAGTTCCGGTTCCAGTGTCACTGTTGACACGCGCAAAAAGGGTATGTGCAATGGTCCTGTTCCCACTGAGAGGCTTGTTGGCTTTTTGTCCGGTAACTTCTCTGAAAACACATGGAGGGACGAGTACCTCAGCGTGAATGCAACAGTGACGAATGGAGAGAGAAGGGTTCCCAATGGATTGACGTTCAAAGGGTCCAGAGCAGGGGCGGTGTGGCCTGTTGGCGACATGGGGCAGACTGTGCCGTACTACTTTGCGAACAACAAGTTCACTCTTGTGGCGACGGTTTCCATCCACGAGGTGCCGCAGGAGGACAGCAGCCCCATTCCTTTGATTGGCGTGAGGATGAATGACACCAGCAGCACAGTGCTCTTTGGTCTGTCGTACACCCATGAAAAGATGTGGTTGGCCATACCGGGGAATCGTGCTACTTCGAAGCGTGTTGATGATATTGTTAAATGGGAGCCAAACAAGACGTATCAGGTGGTACTGCGAATGGATTCTGATGAATGGACTGTCATTGTAGATAAAAAGGAAATCCACAACGCGGAATATGATAAGAATCTGTTCGACTCGCACAGGATTTCACACTTCTACATCGGTGGGGACAGTAAGGACGAAAGTGCAACGGGCGGCCACTTGACGGTGACCAACGTCATGCTGTACAACGAGAAACTGTGGGGAAATGATCTGGATGAACTCAAAGCCAGCAAAGTCACTATTCCATCACTGGGTGTTGAGAAACAGCCCACAGGACAGGTGACCGGCACAGGCCTCTCGGTTGCTCCAGAGTCAAGGAGTGAAGAAACCACTCTGCCTTTGGTTGAAAATGGAGACAGTGAGGACGTTGGCACCGCACCGGTGAATGCAAGCACCACGCCTGGGGAAACCAAGATCCCATCGGAGTCCAACGCAACAACCCCCTCGGACACTGGCATTTTGCTTGAGAAGGGGCATTTGGGCGATTTGGCGGCCATGTCTCTAATTGGTGACAGCACCGTGCATGGGTGTGTGTCTCGGGTGTTGTTGCTGCTGCTTCTGGGGCTGTGGGGCACTGCGGCTCTTTGTTGAATGAATTGGGGAGAGCAAAGTTGCGAAATTCTGTGGAGCAACAACTGAGCGGCATTCAGCCATACTCAATGAGTTTTGTTGATTTCATTTTCTTTTTCTTTTTACTTTTCTTGTTTTTGCTTCCTTCTTTTTTGCTCCACTCTTCCCTTCTCTTTTTTTTCTTGTTGCCTTGGGGCAACCACTATGGACTTTTTTTCTTTTCTACTCTTCCCTTTTTAATTGTTTTTTTGCTGCATTCTTCCTGTGAGGGGTGCCGTGTGTTTCCGCCCAACTGCTCCACTCGCACACCCACCGACACGCTCATGACGACGGCCCTGTGCGCCTCGCCTGCTGCACGCATGAGGAGGGGCCGCGACGAACGGCGCGCTGAGGGAGCCGTGACGTGTGGGCGTGCGACGAGGGCCTGTGGGGCGGAGCACACATTTCTTTCCCTCTTGTTTTGTTTTTTAGCGGCCAGGGCGGGCAGACACCCGCAGCGCCACACACACACAGCCACACCCTGCCGCTTCTTTAAGGATTTTTTTTTGCTTCGCGTGTGCATTTCACGCGCTGGCAGCCTCTTCGGGGTTGGCCTCGTGAGTATTTCTCCCTCCTGATGATTTTTCTTTTTTTTTTCTGCGCTCACTCCCCCGATGGAGAGACGCGACTCCCGTCATGTCTGCGTGCTTCTCTCAGTCCCCACACACGAGTGACTGTGCTCTGCGGGCCGCACTCACGCGCCGATGAGAGGGCTGAGGGGAGCACCAACACGCAGATGACCCCATGAAATATAAACGATGTGCGGACACATGGAGGTCAGACGGTTGAAATGCATGTAAATATCTTTTCAATTTTATTTTCGGACAAAATATGCAGACAATTTCTGGAGCAACATGGTATTTGGGTGCTTTTTTTGTGTGTGTTTTTTCTTTCTTTCTTTTTTTCTTCTTTATTATTTGGGTGTAGCCGTAGTAGAGGACGACTTTTTTCATTTTTTTTTTTTTTCTTTTCAAAGTGTGAGGGGTGGAAGGGTGAAGATGAATTTTTTTAAATTTTAATTTTTTTTTATGAATTGCCGCTGCTTTGTCTGCAGTGCAATGTCATGAGTTTGAGCAGTCTTTTTCTCTCTATTTCTGCCATGCACTTCTGCTGTACATTTTTGTTTGTGCGTCCCCTCACATGCTCCGCTCCTGTTTTTACTTCTTTGCCTCGTGTGTCTGCAGGCACACACAACCACATGCACGCAAAAAATGCACATTGCAGTGGATTTGGATGCTTATTTTGTAGCGTGTGCTGGCGGTTGCGGGTGGCTGCTGCTTCCTCCGTGGGCATGAAGGGAAGGAGGAGAGAGGGAGCGCGCACCGCGAGTCACTTTTGCTGTTGGCGTGCTGCACCGCCTGTGACTTCTTTGAGTTGGGCACCGAATCCCATTGTGGGTGTGATGGCTGGAAATTTTGTCGCCACGTCATGGCTGGGTGAGGATCCGCTTCCGCGTGTGGCTCTTTGGGTGATTGCTAGGTCCGTGTGCGCTGTGTGTTGGCTGCGGGCTGTGGCCGTATGCCTTTGGCCGTGGGATTGAACTGGAGGCGGTGGCGGTGTGTCTCCTCTCGTCCATGTTGGGTGACTGTTGGCGGTGTGCGTTTGTTGTGTGGAGGGCCGAATCTTTTCTCCCGCGGACTGACGGCACTGCGATGGTGTCTGTGTGTGTGTGTGTGTGTGAGGGCTGGTGTGGGCGATGGTCCTCCGTGCCGTCCCTTCCGGATTGTCTCGTGCCCCACTCACTGCGTGGCTGCTCTGCTCTGATTCTCACTGACGTGTCTGATGTGCTGCCGCTGTTGTTTTCTTCACCACTTCTTGAACACATACACACGCTAGGAAAGAAGGAAAACAAGCGCGAATCGCCACTGTGAAATTCGAAGGCACTGAAAGGACCAACAACAGCAGCACACATTACCCACACACACATATTTGTATGCTCTCACGTGTTGCTGCTGTGAAGGCACCCCGCACACACAACCGTCGCCGCGTGACCGGATCCAGCGGAAGGAGGAGGGAAGGAGGAGAGAGTGAGCCGCAGAGGCCCAACATGTCCCGGCGTGTGTTTGCCTCCGCGGTGCTGCTCCTCCTTTTCGTGTTGATGTGCGGCGCCGCGGAGCCTTTGCGGACCCAAAACTATGGAACGAGAGTGGACGATTCCTATGGAAGACACAGTTTGGAGCAGTTGCCAAGGGAGTATCCAGTCGCAAACACAGCGGCCGCTGGCCACATTTTCCGCAATCCCCATCTTGTGAATGTGGACGGGATGCTGCTGGCCATTGTTGGAGCTCAGTTCAATGGATCTGTGGGGAGCGGGAGTGCGTCCATGCAGTTGATGGCACGGATCAGCGTTGATGGTGGGAGGACGTGGCGGCCGTACGCGGGGCCAGAAGATCTTGACGTTTTTGCTGCACGCCTTCACCAGATGTTGTTTACCACGCCTTACAGACTCTTCGGACCGCTTTTTGCATTTGTGGAGGGCTACGACTTACGGAAAGGGGCCAGAATTCGGTTTACCGATGAGTGGGGAGGAAGTGGTGTGGAGTCTGTTATCCATTTTCTGGAGACGGGGCCTAGACGAAGCGGAGGTTTTTCGATGAATTCCGTCTCTATGAGCATTCGCCTTCCTTATCCCTATAAATCCGACGAATTGATTGGCTTCCTCAACGATGCCAGTACTCCCATCACGAAAATGACGGATGGCACGCTCGTGTTTCCCGTGCAGTTTCTGACAATGGGAGGGAACACTGCGTCCACAATCATGTACATGAATCCCGGTCAACAGCACTGGACCTTTGCGAACAGCGCGACACATGCAGGCTGCACCAACCCCAGTATCCTTGAATGGGAGGCTGGGAAAATCATCATGATCACCTCATGTGAGTACGGTCGCCGAAGGGTGTATGAGTCGACTGACAAGGGGAACACGTGGACGGAGGCTGTGGGGACGCTCTCGCGCGTGTGGAGCAACTCATTGGCAGGTCTTGGGCTCCACATTCAGAGTGGATTCATCACTGCAACCATTGATGGAAAGAAGGTGATCCTCCTCACCCAGCTGGAATATCCCAGACACGACAGCAAGGGCGAGATTCACCTGTGGCTAACGGACACGAACCGCATTTACCACGTTGGCCTGTTACCCACTGGGTATGGCGCGACCTCCAGCTCTCTGTTGTACGCGAATGATAAGCTGTATTGTTTGTACGAGGCCGGTGTTGGAAGCAGCTCCGGAGCCTTCTTCCTGGATCTGGCTTCCGAGCTGCACTGGATAAGGCATGCGCTGGATACTTGGGCCGCGAAGGACAATGCCTTGAGACGATGCAGCTCAATTGCCTCAGGCGCCGCGCTGTCAAGAGGGAACTGTTCTGTTCCTATCCCCACGGCTGGGCTTGTGGGCCATTTGGCCGATAGGCTCCGTGGGGACAAGTGGGAGGACGAGTACCTTGGGGTGAATGCCGTTGTGAGGGGTGCGGCGAAAAAGGCTCCCAGTGGGTTGACGTTCGAAGGGCATGACGCAGGGGCCGAGTGGCCCGTGGACAAGCAGTGGCCGACCAGACCGCTCCACTTTTCAAACTATGGGTTTACTCTTGCGGCAACGGTGTCGATTCACGAGGTGCCGAAGGGCATCACTCCCCTGATGGGCCTGAAGAAAATGGGGAAGACAACACTCCTGGGACTGTCGTACGATAATAATATGGAGTGGAGCGTGGAGCATGAGTTGTTCCCGAAGCATTTTACCGCATGGGAGCTGGACAAAACGTATCACGTGGTGCTCAAAATGCATGACGGTGTGGGCTCCGTGTACGTTGACGGGACTCCCCTTTGGAATATGAGGCTGAGAAATTCGTTCAATGAAGGGCTGGACGCGGTCTCACACTTTTACTTTGGCGCGTACGATGAGCAGTTGAGCAGCGGAAAAATCCATGCGACGGTGGCGAACGTCTTTCTGTACAACCGTCCGTTGAATGAAACTGAGATTGGCGCCCTCAACGCGAATAAAGTCACCATTCCACCTCCGGAAAGGAAGTCGGCGAAAGCGGCGGCAGCTACTTCCCCGTCCGTTGAATCTGCCAACGATAGGGTGAACACA